TTTAGAGTTTAGGGTTTAGGCTGTAACTATGGCAGGAAAGATAGGAGTTGAAAGTCATAGATGCATAAAGTTATGGACGTGACTGTTGGATAGCAGGAAATGGAGGGGGCCGGAGGGGGGTGCTTGCGCTTCTGATGATCCATCTACCGCCGTAGTTGCCCAGTGTAATTTTTGATTCCTCTGGCTACCACTAGCTCGGCTGATGTAAACGGAGAGGCAAGAAGCATGGCCGTGGGCAACTTCTTGCCGAAAACTTGCGGAACATCAGTTCGACTGCTGGACCCTCTTTCTTTCAAATGGCGTTGCGTCTTCCCCTGTCCCCGGCATCATGTACTGTTGCTACTTAAAACCCGACTTGACCTTAATGTACTGTAGTACTTTCACTCCCAAGGTGTAATGAACTAGGGTCATGCAAGATATTGAAGATCCACCCAAGAAGCCCCATATAATCCCAGTTTCCATTTCATTTCCCATTGTCTTTTCGAGTTGATTCTCCATTATGGAGCTAATAACCTTAAACCTAGATCATAAACCAATGACCCTAAACCCTGAATCAGGGACCCTAAACCCTAAACCAGGGACCCTAAACCCTAAACCAGGGACCCTAAACCCTAAACCCTAGATTTTGAGTCTCCACCCTACGAACCGCCAGAGCTAGTGAGTGCCTGCATCTGGCACGCCAGGCCCGCGCGGCCAGCGCCGCAAGGCCCAGTGACACGGGAAGGCGAGCTGAGGCAATATGGGGTTATAGGGGTTGCTTATATAGGGTTTAGGGTTTAGGGTTCTAGGGTTTAGGGTTGAGGGTTTAGGGTTATAGGGGTTATATAGGGGATATAGGGCCTATATAGGGGCTATTTAGGGGCTATATAGGGGTTATATAGGGGTTAGGGTTTCGGGTTCAGGGTGTAGGGGTTAAATGGGGCTACGCGGGTTATATAGGGGTTATGTAGGGGTTATACTTGGGATGTACAAGGGTTTTTTCAGAGTTTTATAGGAGTTCTAGAGGGATCAGATAGGGATACATGGAGGAAATGGAAAAGAAAATGGGAAGTACTGGCTTGGGTTTCGGAACATTTTCCGCAGAACGAGATGGAAATTTGTGTTCTTTCGGTGATTATAGGGAGGGATTAATTTTGACTGTAGTTCAGATGATGGTATAAACTCCGTGTATCCTCCTTAATAACCCTGTAATATAATCCCCTATATACATAACCCCTGTTAAGGAGTTTAGACTAGAGCTCATATGCACAAACAAAAGCTGCCTGCATCCTCTCATTAACCCTAAACCCTAAAGCCTGAACCCTGAAGCTTGAAACCCAGGTTTCTGCCCCGCATCAGTGCTCTGCTTCAGCTGAGAATTCAGCCCTGGAAGATTCTGCGGAGCCTAAAGCCTAACCCGAAAGCCTAAAACCTAAACTCCACAATGTCCGCACCTGCGCCGTCAACTCTTTGGCTTGGGCGCAAGGCGCCCACAGCGGCCACAGAAGCCTCGCAGGATGAGCAACATGTTGGTAGTAGTAATAGTAATTATCGTAATCATAGCAATCAATACTAATAATAGTAATAGCAAGAACAATAATAATAGCAATGATAATGACAGAAGTAGTAATGGTAGCAATAAGAGTGTTTGGAATAATGACAGCAACTCTTTCAGCGAAATGATCGCCGTGAAAGCTCGCCCAGCAAGCCCCCTTTTATGGCTCACCTGGCTAGGCCTCTCATCGATTGCGACGGCACCGTGGAAGGTGGGAACCACATCAACGACCACGACGGATTTGAAAAAAAAAACTAAACCCTAAACCCTTAATACCCTAAGCTGCAAACCCTAAACCCTAAACCCTTAAACCCCTAAACCCTTAAACCCTAGGCCCTTAACCCAAGACCCAAGATGCTACCCACTGCTGGCAGAGGGACGGCGCGCACCGGTACTTCTGCAGGCTGCAGGGCGGCTGCGAAGGCTGCCATCCCGACAGAGAAAAGCACTTCAGACTATTTCAAACTAAATCAGACTAACAGCAAGTTCCGAGCTGGCAGTTGATAACGTGGTCGTGCCTTGCATGTTATTTTCTAACACACTTGCTGGCTGACAGCAGCTAACCCACCACCTGCTGCCATCTCGCTAGACTGCTGTCCCATAAGCTTAAAAAGATCTATCCATCCAACTACTGCGCTTGGGCCATTTGGCTGAGGTTGAGCAGGAGCCCACCGAGTAGAATCGACAAACGTTTCACAATGCACACATGCAGAAGCGCTATGTGAAACAACGCCTCATTTCATGAAGATTCTGAGATCAGGATTGGGCCCTGCGTCTGACTTTGGCCACCACAGGAAGTTTCTAGAAGCTGAGTGCGGCACAGAGAAGCTACTGCGACCAGGTCATACATGAGGGCTTTGCAAGGCAACATCGGAATACTCCTCTCGGCTGAGGTCCCTATGCCATATGCGAACCCACAAATTCGCGCTTAATAGACTCGCCCCAGGAAAGAAGGTTGACAAACAGCAAAGTGTGAACAAAAAAGAATGCCCTTTCTTCTGGGCTTTCAAACGCAAGGTGACGTATACAGGCTAACTTCAGGATTGCCAGTGTTACCTGGGGGTCTGTGCATGGAGCAGAAGCCACGAAGATTGGCCTGGGATTCCACCACCTCATCATTGCTGGACTCAGGCGGCTCTGCCAGTGGGTCATCTGCAGGCTTTTAGCTGCAAGCACTCACCATGGACCGAACTGTACAGGTCTACTTGTGCTCCTTTGCAGTCATTGCACACCGGAAATGGATCTCTCATCGCAGCTGCGGCCCCTGCAAATCTCTGCCACGAACACAGCGGCAATCACGCAATGCAATGGTAACCGTGAAACACCTGGCTCCCATCAGCAACTACAGTTGGCAGCATGCCTTCGTGGCCTCGCGCGCTGAAAGCTAGGCTCTCTCTGCAACCCAGCACCTGCTTCTTCCATTGCTTCGCCGATCCCACCCGTGCCCTCCGAGAAATGCTGGGAGCTCTGCCTTCTCTGACACGCCTTGGAGCGCCGAGCCTTCAAATCACCCTGCTGCCTGGGCGCAGTGGAGACAGGACGCTTCAGCTCACTGGCTCTGAGCACTAAAGGCCCGGGCTCACTCAGCTTTGCCTGAAGCTCCCCTCGAGCTGCTCTTGAAGCGCGGACAACCTGAGACGAGAGGCACAAGGCTGCCAGCAAATTGAAGCTGATGCAGCAGCAGAACCTGGGCCAAGCCTCATTTCACGAAATGCCACGGGGTGGGACTGGGCAAGATACGGATGCTTCTACGCTACATCGAAGCTCTTGGAGGGTGAGCTCGCTGGAAGCTCGCTCTCCTTGTTTCGTAACTCCAGTAAATTTCTCGACCGGCCATCCTTCGCGTCGAAACATCCACTTAGTCGTTAATGCTTAATGCTACCGTACCAACTGCGTAGAGGCGCGCAAAGTCCATCTTGCCCACCCAACAAGAGGTGGAGCCTCTTCGCCAAATTGAGCTCCCAAATTGAACTCTCAACAGCTTGATCACGCAAGACAACACCATGCCAAAGTTTCCCAAAAATACTCCCAGTTGCAAGTCTAAGACTACTTTCAAACATCAAGAAGTAGGAGACCTGCGAGCCATTACGTATTAATCCTGATTGCCTTTCCCAAGAGCCAATCCTTTCAAAAACTTACTGCAATTCGTTCCTTCTCTTTCTCCTCTTTTAGGATACGAGTCTGCCTAAGTATGATCATTTTTGGAGAAACTACTTCACGGGTCTAACAACCTCTGCTGCCGGCACGTGTCAGTGAGCCGTATCTTCTGGTCCCACAACCACGCTCGGCCAGAACCCCTTCAGCCTGGGATCTGATGCAATAAACCAGAAGAATCTAATGTCTTCCCTTTGCCTTTGGGGGAACAAACACTTTGCATGCAGCTGCACATGCCAAAGGAGCTCTGGAAGTTTGTGACGAAACTATAACATCCTACACTTATACTACAGTGGAACCTGAAGCTTCTGAACAGGTTGCACTCAAAATAGGGAATGCGGCCTTTCAGCCAATGTCCTTTCTTTTAGAGCATGTGTGGGACCTTACAACGGAACCTCTGCTTCCGCAAAGCTATTACATTGAGATGCTTCGGCCCTACGAAAAAGTGAGATGCCACAACCTCAAAGCCGTGTAAGCCGTGTCGCAAAGCTGGCCAGGCCAAGCATGGCAAAAATTGGTCTCAGGCCTGAGGCGCCAGCAACCAGAGCGCAAACAAAGTTGACACAACTCCGACATGCCTTGAAAGCCAAGCGTTGGATCTTACCAGCCGGTAGCTGCATTTCTGTGACACAACTCTTTTTTCCAACTGGCTTGAATCCATTGAAACATCTTGAAATCACAGCGGGGAGACTGCAGAAACAGGTCTCCAGGCACCTTCGCCTGCTTACCAGCTTGGGTATCTGGCTTCCTGCGAGTCCCCCCAGCGCTTGTCGCACCAGGTTCCCTGGCACCGTCCCTCGCCGGAACGTCGCCAGCTTGCCCAAGCGCTCGAATGACTCCACGAAGCTTCTTCGTGCTGGTGCTCTGCCCAAGCAGCCTTAGACCAATCTTGGTCGTTCTCGTCCTGGCTTCGCCAGCTCGAGCTGGTGTTCCAGGCTCCTTGGCCCTCGTATTTCTCTGCAAGCGATGGACCTTGCCAGTCCTTCCAGGCATCCGTAGACGCCTCGTCCACGACTTTGATGCAAAACGTTCCACAACGGCTCTGGCTGAAGACCCAGCCAGGGCCGTCCCACAGCTTCAAAAACACAGTGCCCTCTCGGCCTGGCCTTTCCTCCAATACATCAAAGATCTGGCCATACTTCAGCAAGCCGATGATGCCGGAGCGCTGCACTTGGGGATGGCTCCGGATGTCCATGCCTGAGCGCCACAGGCACTTCCACCGCGTCGGCTGTGGCCTATCGTGGGTCTCAAGAACCTCCTGCACTTGCTCGGCAACCTTCACTTCTGGATGGGTCTCAAGAACCTCCTGCACTTGCTCAAGCTTCAATTCTGGACTGCTTTCACACTGACACGTGTCTACCTGCAAGTATACATGCTGCAGTAGCAGCCTGGCAACGGCCGATGCTGCCTCGTCATCTCTGCTGGCCTCCGCCTCAGAACCATCTTCAGCTTCCGCTTGGTCGACCGGAGTGCAGGCTGCTTCTGTCTGCGTCTCCATCGCTGCCATGAAGTCTTTGAGCTCCTGGAGCTCTGCCTCGAGGGCTTCAATTCTCTCGCTCTGCATGGTCAGCTTCTTCTGAAGGTCGACAACCACTTCCCCCTGCATCTCTTGTTCACGAAGCATCGAGACCACATGATCTCGAAGATCATCGAACATGAGCGCAACTCGCTCCGCCAGCATTGTGGCGGGAGCGCTACCGCCAAACACTGGTGCCAACCCTGCTACAGGCAGTAGCCAAAGTGCCTTGAGACACGCGCGTCAGCTTTCAATTCAAGGTTCATTCTACCGACTGCGCTGGTCTGGTGATCACACGTCTTGGGCCGCGGCATTTCTACACCCCACGAAGATCCATGCAGATTCACCATCCGGATGCCTCACCATCCTTGCGTCCGTCAGTGTTCAAGCAGGGCACCAACATTTGAAACAACTGCGGCTTGTCGTCACAAATAACTTCTCATCTCCGGGGTGTGGAGTCCTTACCGTCTATAATTACTCTAGACAATTAACAACACATAGAGTCCATGACTCGAACCACCACGAATTTCCCGGTCCTGAGGCACGATGGAGACAATCACGCGAAGACAAGCCGAAAGTCTCTGACCTTGATGCATCTCGACACTACATGTCGGCGACGAGTGCAATCGTTCTGGGACATACAATGAGCAAGACTGCAGTAGTTTGATAGCAGATAGCATCCGGGCCATGCGCAGTCGACATTCCGTGATGGAAAACCTCACTGTAGAAGCATTCACCCCGTGATTGGATTTTTGTGCTCACTTGTAGCACCGAGAAGCCGTGGCGGCAGCGGCGTCTCCATGCGGCCGAGTTCAAGAAAGCTGGCTACAAGCAGTGACTGGCCTGGGCCTGATATACGACTCTACGTAGGGACATGTAATAAAGGGGCATCATATAGGGAATATAGAGATAATGGTACAGAAAATGGTAACATTGGAGCAATGTTGGGGTTATATTCGAAAGTCTGTTGCTCATCTGGGGGTCTTAGGGATTTGCTGCTTGACGTTCGCATCTCAAACAAAATGGTTTCAGTCTTCTGGAGCCAATGTGCGTGCAACACACCCTACACCCTACACCCTAAACCCTAAACCCTAAACCCTAAACCCTGATTGATGGCCTCGTCTCTAAATGGACCAGGGAGATCCCCTATGTCGCAACGCAGGAGGCCGAGGTCCCATGCTTGAAAGAATTAAAAGGGGATTTCCCAAAATTAGGGGTACCTTTAAAGGGGTTAATAGGGGTATATAGGGGTTTTATAGGGATATATAGGGTTTAGGGTTTAGGGATTAGGGTTTCCCAAAATTAGGGGTACCTTGGCTTATACAGAGCTATATAGGGGTATAGGGCCCAATAATGGAGAATCAAATGGAAAAGAAAATGGAAAATGAAATGGAAACTGGGTTGTATAGGGGTTTATAGGGATTAGGGTTTCCCAAAATTAGGGGTACCATTTTGGGGGTCGCATAATAAGGACTAAGTAAATTGGGGTCTATGTTGGGGTCCCCTCATTTTGGGAAACTACCAAAACTCAAAACGGATCAAGAACAAACTAACTACTGTAATGGGTTATAGAAGGGCTATACGGTGTATATTGGGGTTATATGGAAATAATGTAAAATGAAATGGAAACAACATCAGCAACACGCTCAAATCGGGGTGTTGTGTGTAATTTCTGGGCTGACTTTCAAGCAATTCTCACGGCCTTGCCTCTCTCTCTTTAGCGTGCTCTGCCAGAACCTTCCACAGCAGCGTGGCCAGAAACTTATCACGTAACTGTCATGGTACACACAGGCATTCGCGAAGAGCAGACCTCGGCAACGAGTTAACCCAGGCTGTTTCATATGAGCTATAATCTAAACTCCTAGTATCCCCCTTAATAACCCCTATAGTAGTCCCCTATATACTATATTATATATCCCCCCTTTAAGGAGTTTAGAGTTTAGACAATGGTTCATATCAGAGGGGAGCTCCATTCTGCATGTGTACCTGCAGCTATGTCAGGCATGTTTGCCTTTTCAGTGGCCCCTCTGTGAGCGCTTGAGCGGCAAAGGCAGAAGACCATGAGAGCGCCTGTTCGTATCTTTCCCTGGCTTTCTGGGTGATTTCCTGCAAAAGCTTTCAGGAAGCATGGGGTCACAGCCCTTCTCACAGCAGCCAGAAACAGCAACAGAGGCAAGGACAGATTGCAGGACAAGCAGAAGGAGAAAGAACAGCAAACTTAAACCTGAAGCAGGAAGCCAGGAGAAAAACTGGAACAAGAAGATGAAACAAAGGAAGCAATGCAGCACAAGAGATACAGGAGGAGAACCACCACGCAGCACAAGACACGAGCAACGCCAGCCATCCGTAGTTTGCGTTACTGTGCTTGACTGTGCTTCCGCTCCTCGATCTGACGCTGAGCTTCTTTCTTCACAGACCTGAAAAGAAAACACAGGTCATCGTGAAACAAAATGGCCGCGATGGGGGTTGCTTCAGGCACAGGCCCTAGGCTGCAGGGAATGATTTGTCACTGGCAGCTCGCAGCCTATCCGCGAGCCCCATCAGCAGGTCACATGTCCCTGGGGCTCTGGCTCAAGCTCCTGCTTTGCTCGCCGTGCTTCGTCCACCTGATGTGTAGCGACGTTCAAAGTGGAACGCCCTTCAGCTTGAACCCATCTACAAGAAGAGCACCCCGCAGGGGCTTGCGTTTTGATTGGCCGGATTCGCTAGGGCGACGCCTGCGACACCCTCTTGCTGCTGCTGCTGCTGGAGGAGCATATTATGCTGGTGCTCTCGTCATCATTAGCATACTATGTTAGTGTCGTTTTTCGTCATCATTAAAAAGATCTTGGATGTACTGCTATAGTACCGTGGTAGCGGTGGTGGTGGGACGTGCTGGGGGGGCGGCTGGCGATTGGCGGAGTAGTGTGCAACGGGCGAGAAGGGTGGTGGGAGGAGGCGGCGGAGGAGGAGGAGCAGGCCGTGCTATCTCGAACCAGCACAAGCGCCTTGAGTGCAAACCGAAACATTGGTGCGATCTGCTCCAGTCCAAACCTTGACGTCCCTGCACACATTGAGCAAGCAAGAAGCCTTTTCTGTCAAGACCCGCTCGCCCCCTCGCGGTCTCTTGTACCCCTGCCATTCGACAGTTCGTGAATGTACCCGCATCAGCCCACCAAGCCGGCAATTTCTGACTTGTAAAGCACACGTAGTTCTCATTCAACATCAAGTAGGAAATATGAAGGAACATGGAAAATGAAATGGAGACTGGGATTATGTAGGGGTTATATAGAGATGTGCAATATGTGGTTGTCGGGTTTACCGAAGCAGTCTGATGTGAGCCTGATATTTGAAAAAGCTGACCCCAAAGTGGTTGAAAGCTTCAGGAAGTGTACCTTAGTCTAAACTCATAGTGTCCCCCGTAATAGCCCCCATAATACTCCCCTATATAACCCCCTTTCAAGGAGTTTCATGAAATTTGAGAACCTGAGCTACGTGAGGTCTGACGGCTCAGCTCTTGGAGTGCAAAGGCAGTCATCAACCTCACAGGGGTACAATTGGGTTGTTCTGTGGGTTATCCTACTGTTTAGGGCTTATAATGAAGAATCCAATGGCAAAGAGAATGGAAATGAAATGAAAACAGGGATGATCTGGGGGTATATAGGGTTTGGGGCTTAGGGCTTAGTGGTTGTTCTCAAAATTATGGGCACGTTTTGGTTATAGATTATATTACGGCACCTAATATTTAGGGGTACCAAAATGGGACCCTAAACCCCAAACCCCTAAAGCATAAACCCTAAACCCTAACCCAGTTTTGGGAACTACCCAATTTTCTCAGCCCTCTTGGCTTCTGGCATCAGACTCAGAGAAACCGGAATGAGCGCTCGTTTTGTATACATGTGAGGTATGGTCTAAACTCTCAGGACCCCCCTCATTACTATACTTATATTATTGTAGATTGCTACTATTAGTTGCCATTACTATTACTATTACTATTCCTGTTACCGCTACTGTTACTATTACTGTTACTACTACTACTACTACCACTACTACTACTACTGCTACTACTACTACTACTACTACAACTACAACATCTATTACTACAATTACGAATTTTCTGCTAAGCCATGTGTGTATTTCCAACCTCAGATTTGTCGGTATTTATGCTGTTTTCTAGGGTTTGCCATAAGCCACAGGAATTCAACCAGAGCATGAATACATCAAGAGGGCCACTTTAGTATTGCGCTCATCCTTGTTTGAGTCACGGACTGAGGCCGGAGCATTCGACAGAGCATCTTTAACTCCCAATATAACATCTATGCAAAAACATACAAAAACCCGGGTCCCAGCGCGACACGCCCTCTGCCATTACTATTACTACTACTACTACTACTACTACTACTATTACTATTACTATTACTGTTACTATTACTATTACTATGGTATTGTAGATTAGAGTATCCCCCTCAATAACCCCCATGATACTCCCTATACAATCCCCTGTATAACCCCCTTTAAGGACTTTAGACTTTAGACTATGCCTCATGTCAGCACTAGTGTCTGCATTGCTCTGCTCGCCTGCCCGGTCTGGCACATCGCATATTTGCAGTTCGTCCTGGCATTTCTGATCATCGAAACTCATAGGCATTCCCTTGCGTACTTCCACAGGAAAGTTTTCACTTGACTGCCACCTTTTCGGCCTGCCACTGCTTGCAGCACCTTAATCTCAGCGGTGCTACGCAGCCTTGACCGGGTAGTAGGCATAGAAGCTGCCTGCGTTGAAAGGTCCCACCTTGACACAACGCGCAGCTTGACATTGCAAAAGATGCACAGCTCAGTACACAACCCTTAAAGGTACTACAATGTACGTACTATAATGTACTATACCACGCTATAGCATATATAATATACTATAATATGCAATATGTGAAATAGGTTGCAATGTAATCGAATATACGAATATGAAGTGAGGTATACTAAAGCATAATACAAATAATGATTCGTTCAATGGTGAAGCTGCAGCATGTTCATGTTGCATGGGCTTGATGGGGCTTCAGGTATCTGCTCAACATCTCGCATGTCGAGGCTCGTTGATTACACCACGCGAAAATACACGGAAGGTGCTGCAGGATAATCTGCGAAGCGGCTCAAACCTAGCAAGTTGAATAAGCCTATGAAGCTGAAAAGATGGTCGCGTTACCATGAGCGCCATCCAGCCACATGGCAGCTTGAAGTCTCTAATCCCTATAGTAGTTTCTATTTTCTTTTCCATTATCCCTATATAGCCCCTATATAATACAATCCCTAGTAGTTTCCATTTTCTTTTCCATTATCCCAAAAGCACCCCAATAATGGTCCTCCTACGCTGGGCAGCCCGGCGCTGGTGAACTTGCAGTCCTTGTAGCTGCACTCGAATGGAGGTGTTGAACCTATCACGACAGTCGTATTCAGCAAAGGGAGGCTTAGGTAATTACTCTGGGAATATGCACTTGCACGTACAGAGCCAGCCGAATGGTGCGCACTTAAGTGCTTCCACGCTGAGGCCTCCAATGAAGACTGCATGCGGCAGCGGGTAGAGCCACATCCTCGGCTTGACACCGCCAAAATGCGCGCTGGTAGCGCTAGTGGATCTTGACAGGAGAAAATCGGTCAACCCAGGACGGCACGTGTGGTCATACTCCCACAAGATGTTGCTCTCTTCCAAAGGCAGGGGGACAAGGTGTGCCTCGTCATCCAGCCAACTCCCACAACTTTGCAGATGGACGGATACTGTATGTCATGATTGTCAGCAGGCCTATGAATGTTGCTGTGCTGTCAACATGTGGTAGTTTCGCTAAATGGAAGTACCCCTGATTTTGGGGAAAAAAACCCGAACCCTATATATGGTGCAGTGCTGGCCAGCCCCCCCCCCTCCCCCCCCTCCAATGGTATGGTATTGGTAATTATTGGTACAAGGTCCCACAGATGCCAGCATTCTGGTAAGTGACTGTCACTTTGCAGCATCAAGAGCTGCATGTTTCAGAGGTCAGGGAGATCCTCCTCCTCCCCTCTGGTTTGGTGGGTTTGCTTTTTTCCATGACTGTCAAGTAGTTCAGATCTTTCCCCCCCGCCCCCCCTGTGGTGTGGTGAGTGTGGTTTCTTCCAAAACTGTCAGCTTTCTCTGTTGCTTTAAGCAGTCAGACCTCCTCCATCCCCCTGAAGTGTGGGTGGCTGTCTTCCTTGAATAACTGTCACCATTCGCGCCAAGTCATTCAGATCTTTCCCCTCCCCCTGTGGTCTGGGTAGTGGGGGAAACGCACCATCCTTATGATGGTTGGCATCGTGAGCAGGACACTTTCCCCCCTGCCCCCCCTGTGGTGTGGTGAGTGTGGTTTCTCCCAAAACTGTCAGCATTCTCTTTTGCTTTAAGCAGTCAGATCAGACCTCCTTCATCCCCCTGAAGTGTGGGTGGCTGTCTACCTTCAATAACTGCCACCATGCGCCCCAAGTCATTAGATATTTCCCTTCCCCCCGTGGTCTGGGTGGTGGGGTACACGCACCATCCCTGTGATTGTTGGCAGTTTGGGGATCTACAACATCAACAGCAACGACAATTCGGGGATCGCGAGTAGGACACCCGCCAAGTTTGTGAGTGTTGGCACTTAGCGACATTTGCGACATCAATTTGGTGACAGTTACGAGGATTGTGATAGGACACCCACGATCCTTGTGACTGTTGGCACTTTTGAGATCTTTAACATCAAAAACGATGACGGGTTACGAGAATGGCAGGTTCGAGCCCTCAAAAACGAGGACAGTTACGAGGATCGCGACCTGGACACCCACCATCCCTGTGACTGTTCACATTTTTGCGAGTTCTGGGCTGGCGGTTAGGGGACCATACCATGTGCGGTGGCGGGGGGGCTGTCGACACGGGACACGACACCGTATATCCACTATATTACCTCTGGGCGCCTGGTCCAAGATGAAGCGTGCCGCCTGCGTATACCGAAGGTCGTCAAAGCCCTGTACCTGAAGCCAGAGGTATCGAGTTTAGAGTTTCGGGTTTAAGGTTCAGGGTTTCGGGGTAGTATATAGGGGGCCATATAATGACAATGGAAAAGAAGATGGAAACTTCTATTTAGCGTACCGTCCTCTGGGTTAGGGCTAAGTTGCTCAGCCTCTGCAGCTTACCAACAGCAAGGTTGCAATGGCGCCTGCGACTCTGAGGACAGCAAAGGCACTGCCTGCAGGCCACAGGCATCTGATGTTCAGTTTTGGACCGGGACCTTGTCAATATGAGCTATAGTTTAAACTCTTAGTATCCCCCTTAATAACCCCTATAGTACTCCCCAATATAGTCCCCTATACAATCCCCTTAAGGAGTTTAGATTATAGCTCATATGAACCCTACACCCTAAACTAAACCCTGTCGCTGTAGTAGCTTCCATGTTCTTTTCCATTATCCCTTTATAACACCCATATAACCCAGTGGAATGCAAACGACAATCCTGCGCACATGTAAAATCTAGCATAATGTACGACATACGAAGTCACCCAAAGCCATTGCCTCATGCCGCCGCAGCAAGCGCAGGACATCGTGGCCTCGCTGCTTTGCAGCACTGGCCATGCAAATTGCAGCACCATGGAGCAAAAGAAGTCATGCCACAAACGCAGGGGCCCAACGGAAGCAGACAATCTCGCGGCTGTAGTGCCTCACCTCACTTTTGAGGGCTTGTTCCGCACTCCTCACCAGTAGTGAGACCTTCAAGATCACCTCTGTCTGCAACTTCAGTCGTCTGGCATTGGGGACCCATTATGGCACTTTGCAGTCGGCATTGCGACTGCCAGTCACGCATGCTGGATCATGCCACACATCTCAGGCCAGTGCTCGGCAAGGATTTGTGGCCATGACCTCAGTGTGGCGGTTTAATATCTCAGTCTGACTGAGGCTGCCGCTCTTCGAAACTACCTACAAGATGTGATCCTGTCTCAGACGCATAGGATTCCCTTCACCTGTGGTCCACCTTTTCCACCATGCCAGCGGCAGGCGCCAAAGCAGATGCAAATTCTGTGCGGGCGGCAGCTCGCTGATTTCCACGATGAGTCTTAAACAACTACAGTATGAGTATATGATGTTGCTGCTCTTTGAAACGCTTGAGCAAGCCATCTCACTACAGCAGTTGCGCCGCTTTGCTGAATTTTAAACGTGCAGAAACATCAGGCCATTGGCCATGAAACTTCGCGATATGCGGAGCCCCGGCTCCAAGCAAGCACGGGGGCCGCACAGAGACAAAGCAATTTGGAGCATGATACAAACCAGAACGGCGCAGGGACCCAGTTCGTATAATGAATGGAAAAAAGGGAAACTACCATAATGGAAAAAAAAGGGAACCTGGATTATATGAGCTATTGTCTAAACTCCTCGTATTCCTCCTTATTAACCACTGTAATACTCCCGAATATCATCCCATGCATACACCCCCTGTAAAAACTTGACTATAGCTCATATGGGAGTTTATTAGGATGAACACCAGCCGCTTGCTCCAAGTGGCCGTGTCTCACGTGCATGGGCTCAAAAAACTAAGCTTTGCGGGCCCAACCTTGCTCATCGTAACTCTTATGATAAGTTCTACTATCACTACAGTTACGATATTATTCTTATTCTTACTATTCTTACTTTTATTATTAATACTATTACTATACTATTAAGACTAGTACAACTATTTTGACTATTATTGCTATGTCGTTTTCCAGTTACACAGATGGGTCCTGTAAGACAGAAGAACCATCCCGGAACTTCTCACACATTGGCTTCTGTGTCTGGCTAATATCCTCAGCTGGTAATACTACTAGTAATAATAGGAATGATAAAATTAACAGTAAGAATAGTAAGTATAAAATAGTGACCATGATGGTAAGAACAGCAATAATAATACTAATAATAATAAGAATAATAATAATGCTAGTAATCATAATGATAGTGATAGTAATAGTAATCGTAGTAATAGTAGTACTAGTAGTAGTAGTAGTAGTAATAATAATAATAATAGTAATCGTATTAGTAATCGTAGTAGCAATAGTAATGGCAATAAAAATTGAAATAGTAATAGTAATACTGGGTGTGCTTGTGGTTGGGAGAGGCAGCCCAGGTGGACTTTTGCTCATAGAGGCCTGGCATCATGTGTCGAAATATGATGGGCGATCATCATAGAAGAATGTGTAGAGCAGCAAGTACAGAATATGTGTGGCGCTTCTGGGCAAGGGCTTGCGCAGCCTGACATTGAAGATTCTGGTAGAACGCAAGCAATGTTTGATAACGAATGAGTGTAATGACTCCATTACTGGATCGAAATTCAGTTGAGCAAGTCTCAAAATTATACTGAAAACTGTACTTCCAGATCACCTGGACTCGGGTAAACACGGCATTGCAAGTCCAAGTGGCGCAGGAAGTGCAAGAAGAAGGTGCCGACTATCACTTACATTCTCGTGGGGCGACTCTGACCTCGCACCTTGGCAAGAGAGCTCAGTGATGGAACAGCCAAAGTACCAACAATGGAAACTACCATATAATATATTGGGGTTATAGGGGTCGTGGAAAAGAAAATGGAACCTACTATAATGGGTTTCTTAGGGACTACTATAACCTTCAACAACCAGAATGCTGCGGCTATACAATCTTTGGTATTATGACTATTGCTACTATTACTATTGTAATCGGTATTACTATCATTGTCACTTCGATTATTTTCACTATTTTTCTTACAGTATATACTTATTTCTACTATTTTTGTCACTTTTATTATTCTTACTATTATGTCTTGCGGTCAGGTGGGTCCAGCTACCACCCAGCCTGGGAGTGCCATACTGGGAGCGCGCGGGTTCTGAGAAGCGCCTGCAACCGCAAGCAGTCCAGCGGCAAAAACTAAGCCCTAAGTTGAAACCCTAATGTAAACCCCTGATTAATAAACCCCCCTCCTTTTAAGGGCCTTAATAATAGGATCCCTAAACCCAACCTATCTCAGAGGCCTCTTCGCTCGGCTCTCGGAGGCCACCGCGGCAATGCGCTCGCGCTCAAGGACCTCAGAATAAGAATAAGAATAATAACAGAAATGATAGTAGTAATAATAGTAGAAATTAACAATAACCATCATCATAGTGATAATAGTAGTAGCAATAACTATAACAATAATAAGAATAGTAAGATCAAGAAGAGTAGTAAGATCATTATTAGCAGCATCATTATTGGTACTATTCTGTACTATTAGTAGCGCAGAAGGTGTGGCAAGTCCTGCGCTAGTTGAATGATCGAGCGACCGATCATGTGTCCATCCTTCAAAACAATTCGCATCTGCAGCTTTGTTCTCTGTCAAGACAAGTAATCCTTGCATGCTGAATCGAAGCTAACTGCGCAATCAATGCTGAATGCTCTAGTAGAACTGGTTTTAGAACTTCATTGCAAACCCTCGTGCAGTCTAGAATACGTCTGATCGCCACCCGAGCTGCATTTACCAGTCGCAGCTGCTTCTCTGAGCGAGACAACGGCCAGTCCATAACGACCGACCTCAAGTTCTTGAGTCACAACAGAGGCAAGCCGGACACCTACGAGGTGCCGATGCTGCTAAAGGATGGCACCATCACCACAACAAAAAAACTGCAAGAGCAGCGACCACGACAAGAACAACGACGACAATAGGGAGACCGATAAAGAGAACGACCGGCTTTGTGTGCGAAATGAACATCACAGCCGCGACAGGCAGACAAAGCCGAAATTGGCCGCAAAGCTGTCATCAGCATCATGATCATCATCATCATCATCATCATCATCGTCATCTTTACCATCAGAACTGGTGTCATGCTTTCTATCATTCTGTCTCACAGCAATCAGCAGTAAGCAGCAGCAGCAGCAGCAGAGAAAGGCAACGACAGCTAAAGACTCTGACGAGCAACGACAAGAATAGACCTTCCGCAACAATGGCCAACTGATGGGGATGACTGAAGATGCCAGAGGCTAGAGGAAATTATATAGCAGTTTCCATTTCATTTTCTATTGTCCGAATATAATCCCCATATACTACCAGGGTTTTTGGTTTAGGATTTAGGGTTAATAGTGGTACTACAGGAATATCTAGGGATACTTATGTAACTTCCAAGGGTTTAGGGTTTAGGGTCTAAGGAATTAAGGAGGGACGTCTTATAGGGACCCTTGTAGCTTATGAAGGCTAATATGGGGACTACCTTGGGATATAGAGGTTCTATAATGACTATGTAAGGGTTATATATGGTAATGGGATTAAGGGTCCCTATTAGGAGTCCCTCCTAAAGTCCCTAGACAAAAGAAGTGCTCCGGCGGCAGGATTAGAGGGGACAAGGAAGATTCAAAGAGCAAGGCTGGGCAACAAAAGCAAATCCATCAACTGTATGATATTAGGGATATATTGGGGCTATATGGGGATAATGGAAAAGCAAATGGAAACTACTATAACATTTGTGTTGCTGCAGGAGCCAGCACGGCACGAATCTCCTGAATATGTTTGCGACACCGAGCACCAAGAGTCACGCCCGAAAGGGATCTCCTCCTCTTCATCAGAGGCAGCTGAGGGAGTCCGTGCCTGCTCCTGCAAGAAGCTTCTCGGGAACGCGCATATTCAAACTACGTACTGGACTCACAACTACGATGAAGAGATAGATGTGGAAGACACAAGGCCAAGTCGGAGAGTATTCGGACCTTACTGCAAGTTTCATCCATCAACGATTTGCTGCAACTGTTTCCTGGCCCTGGCAGGTAAGAATGCCCTTGCACCGAACCGTGTCTCGATGTTTTCGAGCCATCTACAAGCGAGCCTTGACGGCTACCGCGCGCTCGCGCTCGCATAGACGAGCCTGGCAGGCTCCCCTCTCCAGTTCAGAACGTCCTACCACTCCCTGTAGGCCCGCATAGGCAACTGGAGTGACAAATCACTGTGCACTCTTAAGCGTGGTGAGTCTCTCAATTCACGTCTAGCAAGCTGCTTGGGTCGCTTCTCTCTTCTCATTTAGTCACGACGAGGTTTCTCATTGCTTTGTTGATCAATGGAGTATGTGAGGATGTCTGCAGCTTCAGCTTACGATTGACACGGTTGGCAGGGTGCGACACATCATGCTTGTTTGTAGCCTCACGTTCAGCCAGCTCGGTCTCCTTCTCACCTCAAGGGCACTGTGCCAGACACTACGACGTTTGCATGTGATTACCTGGCTTGTGTTGGTTCCAAAAACTTCCGGTCACTGGGCGTGCTAACAGCTACAGTGTTAAGTAAGGCTGGCAGAGAAATAGTACATAAGTTCAGCGTGACATTTCTTGTTTGGTCTCTTCGAATTGGGTTTCTAGAAGTTGTGATGCGGCACAGCAAAGCGAACTGAGGGACTTTCCCCTGCCTGTCTGAGAAGGTTTCTGTGCGTCTAGCTGCAAAAGTTGGTGACCAGGGCATACCCCGGCTACTTGCTGATATTTCATGACCTTCTTGAACATCACTGTTACCAGTAGCCTTTTATTGACACTATCACACCCATGACAAGTGTTGATATCATCCCTAAGCGCTAAACCCTAATCAAACTCTAAACTCATCGTAACGAAACGACCTGATTTGTCTAGCCACTACCCTTTGGTTTCTATACAAGCCTCAGCATTCCCAATGCGGTTGATGAATATTCTAGGTACAGTACGGTTTAGGATTTGGGGTTTAGGGTCCCTAAACTCATAGGGTTGACATATATTCTAGGTACAGTAGACTATAGAGCCGCAAGGACAAAGGAGCACCATGATCCCTATACACCACTTCCTCTTGTCCATTTGATTCATTATCGCGGTAATATCCGTATACTCTAAACCCCAAGCAGAGGTTTCCATTGTCTTTTCCATTTCCCTATACAATCTCTAAAGTATCCCCAATAACCCTCTCTATCCATATGTGGAAAACCCCGTGTGTGTGTGTTTGAGTACCCCCCTTAATATATCCTATTGTGGTCCCCTATATAATACCCTAATTACATAACTCCCTTTTAAGGAGTTTAGAGTATTGCTCATATGACCTCCTGTGCAGCCGAGTCTCTCAGGAGTCTCTCCCGGCAGCGCACCTGACTGCAAAACCGGGCTTTGGTTACCTGGGAATGAAGGAATGGAAAAGAAAATGGAAACGACTACAATGGGTTACATAGGGACTACTATAAGGATCCGTTCCTTCATTCCTAGCCAACCAAAGGTAGGACAATGCAGTGAAGAAAGCAACCGTCCTTCCCAACCTGCTTCTACAACAAAAGCTTCATGGGGCACATGAGCTATAGTCTGAACTCCTCAAAAGGGGGTTCTATAGGGGAGACTACTATAGGGCTTATTAAGGGGTATAGTAGGATTTTAACCTATAGCTCACATGTTGCAGATGATAACTCAAAGGCGAATGGTGAACTTGGTATGCTTACAGGTAAAGCTACCTATGTCTTCCTCTTCTGGCCTCCATGCGACCCTTTGGCGCTGCGCCGCGCAGTGCCCGTGCGTTCCGCAGCCTCAGCCGCGCACTTGTGTGAACTATCCTGTAGATTTCCGGATGTCTGGCGTTGAGGTGGGCCCAGAATGGATCCGTGATTTGCAAGCAGTCGTGGGTGTGAACTCACTGGGCCCGGAGCAGTTTGGTCAGAGCGTTCAAGGCGTACTCCGTCGGGAGGCGGAGCCAGGCCATAACCTTTCTGCCTGCAGGAATTGGTGCGATTTGCGATCCTCTCCCTAGTGCCAGTTGGGGTTCTACGTAGCACCAGCCGTTAGAGCTAAGGCATGGCACCCAATCGCAGCGTCACCAGGCAGGGACTCCTTAGACCCAGAAGTGAAGTGCATCACATGCTGCAGCCTCAAGATCCCCACTCGCAACGCCATCTCACAGCAGCTGCAAATAGTGAGCTTCTGGACCTTTGGGATGTGCAAAAGCCAAGTCTCGACTCAACCCACACTGATGAGAAGAGATGCATTGCGACCGGCGCTTGACTGGGAGCAGGCTCCTGAAAACAAAGTTCACAGCAGTAGCCAACCGAAGCAGTGGTGTTTTCCGTCAGTGACTAAGACTGAACAATCCAAAAGCTATCCTTCTTGTAGAGGCAGATCATAAGGTCAGCATCCAAGCTGTCACTTGCTGGCTCAATGATGCAGTACCGGCTGACCCAGATTCCCCATTCCACGGGGAGAAGGACCGGCGCCTAAGCTGCATCGAGCTAGCTCGCACTGAGCCTTTGATGATTGTAGTGATCCCTGTGGTGTCCTGGCTTCTAACTGGGATAGATTTCAGGACCCTATAAAAATCTAATTCTTTTGGCAATTTAGGGACCATAGAGGGATAATGCCTCTGACATTACTTGAAAATTATTTCCCAGAAATATCCTAGCGCACTACACCCCTGCTGGTGGTCCGGACATCTGGGTGCTAGGCATGGCATCGCACGTCTACCCAGCAACGGAGCTTCCGCTGCGATGTTGATACCATGCGTGCTGGCAGGTGTAGAAGGGGCAATTGCCAACAATGACACGGAGCCCTCATAGAAGGCAGCGTTTCGAATGTCAGGATGTCAGATATCGAAAAGGCTTAATTATCGGACTATTATGTCTTTGACTCTTTTGTACTACTGCACATCGTCTCTCATGAATTAAATGCTGGAAAGAATGGCAGCGGCATAGAAGTCCTTCTTCTTGGTTCAGCCTGCTGCTTGGCACTGCAGAAGCTCTTGATTCAGAAGCCAGGCTGGCTTGGAAATTGTGAACCCCTGTACCCTGATTATATTATAGTCTAGTATAATATAGAATAGTATAGTATAGTATTATCTAGTATAGTACAATATAGTATAATCTAGTATAGTATAGTAACTGCCATTGTCTTTTCCCATGTTCCTGTACTATACACCCAATTTCAATACAGCAGCATCTATCAAAAGCCACGGAGCTGAGGCCTTTACAACTCCGGGAATCTCCTTTGCAAAGTTTGCAGTCAAGTACTGCGGCAGCGGGGCCCTTGGCCTCGCTAGACATTCAATCTGTGGATGGAAAAGAACATGGAAACTACTGCAATGGGGATATACAGGGGTTATATAGGGGTATATAGGATCTTATAGGGTTATATAGGGATAATGGAAAATGGCATGGAAACTACTATAAGATACTATCTCATTCTCCGGGTTTTTTTGATACGGGGTTGTATGAAGGGATGATGGACAACAAAATGTAAACGTGAGAGCGGCCCGGACGAAAGCTAGCTCACAGCAGGCGAGCCAGACAGAGTTTTACAGTGTCCCCCATGCTTGCCAGAATACTACTCTGAGACTGCTTGAACGTCGACACACCAATCTTGCGGCAAGCCTGCAAGATCACCACTGACATGCATGCAAAGACATTAACACATCTGAACTTGGCTCATTCGAAGACGAACCATAGATAAGGGGGTCCACAGCTTTGGGCTGGGGGGCCTTTAGGTCAGCGGGGGACGCCCTACCATGTTCTTCCTTTTAGGTCCCAGGTGGGGGTGGGGATTCGCCCCAAATGATTTAGCCTTCGTTACTACTATATCTTGCATCAGCCACCTGCAAGTTGCTCTGCAGAACTGACCGGGATCTGGGTTCAAGAGACATTCTGCTGCTGCTCTGAGACCTTGACAAGGTCTGCGCCCCGGGATCCTAGACGCAACACACATCCTAGAATCTTGCGTGGCCCTGCTGCGGAATCTTACCAAGCTTGAGTCCTTCGGCCCAGGAATGAAGATGAAACGGGTACCGCTTGCCACGTGAGCTTCAAGCCCGTGCCTCCGGTCCCGGACAAGAGTGCTCAAGCGCTTCAGATTCCAGCTGCTCCCATGGGGAGCGGATAAAGCCTTGCCGCTGTAAGCAGCCAAGACACATCATAAACTTCAACCGCTCGAATCCTTCACGATAATGCCGCACCTCAGTAATGGGATACGCTGGCTTCGGTAACCTAATTTCATGTTTGGTTTTGCCTGAGAAGAAGGGCGAGTCAGGTCCAAGAAGCCATGAGCACACGCGTCTTCTACATCATTGTTGCAGCTGCCTGACAACCTCTGTTAAGCCCTCTCAGGTTTTCACACCCTCGGCTGTGGGCACAAAGGGGCGAGAGCTGAAGTTGCCCATGAAGATGTAAGCTGCGGGCCTCATTTCAGAGCAACCAGAATGCAAGACTGCGCAGCTGACATACCAAAGGATACTCATGACTGGGAGCTGCGCGGACCGGCTTGCTCGTAGCCTGGCTACCATGCAGCTCCGCTGCGCCTCTACCCTCATATGCACTCATATGCCCTTTTGAGCTATCTTAACTGACCTTCCCGGCTTCTCAAGCCCTAGCCCAACCTTGGAACATGGTCTCGAGCATGTCCAAAACCGGCGCCTGCACCACAGACACCATCTTTCTGTTCCACTTTTTATCTGCGAAATCCCTCTCTGAGGAGGGGACGCTGTCCAAATGAACCTCCGAGGACAGGCATAGATGCAGCGCCGAGCATGGCTAAGCCCCACGCACTGGTGTTGCACACATGTGCAGCCATATGTGCTATGAGACGTGCCTCTGACAAGACCACGAACATGCCATCAGAGTTGATCGGCTCGTATTGCTTCTGGCCAGCAACCATTGAACAAACTTATGTCTTCGGAACTTGGAATTGAGACTGCATGACTCTCTTCCTCAACTGTCCCTTAGAACCACAGCAAGCATGGAAAGCCTCCAGCTTCTTCAGCTGATCGTCCGTGGCATTTCCGCCAAAAATCTGGCGCGGCACCTCCTCCTTGAGGCTCGCCTACTTCGCTGGTTGGCCATGTCACGTAGTCATCAATGACTTGAGAATATAGGGTATATAAGGTTTTATAGGAGTTATATGGGGATAATGGAAAATAAAATGGAAACTACTATATTATGAGCTGCCCTAAGAGATGGCCTCCCGCGTGATTGCTTCGACTTGTAGCAGGCCGTCGATCTTACAAGGACATGCACAGAATGCGGCGATCACGTTGCCGGAAACTAAGCAGCGAGCTTTGAAGATGCTTCCCTGGATCTCACCCTCCGCCAGGATGAAGGAGGCATCGGTCACGAAATGAGCAGACCTAAGGTACAGACTTCAAATGTCAGGTTTGCAGGGCATATAATAATACATTATAGTATATGATAGTATAATATGGTATATAGTATACAAGTAGTATGTTATGGTATACTGTAGTATATTGTAGCGGATCTGCGAGAAACTTTCCAGTGCTTTCGATGATTTGAGTTCGGCACGCCTGCACTGCCAACTGAACTGGCATGACCTCAAGCAGACAAGTACACGTCCCGGATCAAGCGCCGAACCTGTCTCCTGAGCACCTACAGCGTATAATGCTTGGACCTTATCCCTTTATATCCCTATACCCATAATTCAAGGGTTCCTAGGGTTTCCATTTCATGTTCCTTGATCTTTCCCACTTTTCTCTCCATTATTAAGTACCCCAATGGGCTCCAGAACATCGCAAGTATAACATAGTAGTTTCTATGTCATTTTCCATTACCCCCATATAACCCCAATATACCCCCAATATCCCCTAATCTTAACCCTTAAACCCTAAACCCTTAACCATATAACCCCAATAAAACCTTAATATTACCCCAACTCTGGCCTTGTGAAGATCTTCGATGACCCACCTTCCATTCAACCTGTCACCAGGGGGTTCCCCCAAATCAGGGGTGCCATTTTTGGGGGTCCCAAGAATAATGATAAGGATTATGGCCCTAGTATTTTGGGGTATATATTGGGGTCCCCAATGTAAAAGGGAACTACCACGAACACTTGTACTTGACTACTTTAGGAGCCTCGATAGCCTTGCGTGGACCAATGACTCCACAAAAGCTTCAGGTGTCCTGTCTATCTGAAGTTCACCCGCTTTAAGGGGGAGTGTAGGGTGGGATATGGGGTGGGGGGGATAGGTCTGGACTCTGCCAGACCTGTTTTTGAGCAGTTGTCCGTTGTAGTAGAAATAGGTCCAAAGACCTATTTGAAATAGGTGGGGCTCACAGGTCACACCCCCGCAACAAAAGATCTGTTATCCTAGAGGGGGAATATTTTACACGATCTTCATGCATTGAGAGGCATAGGACATAAGCCTAACAGCTGGGGCCACAGCTCATCGTCCAGCTTACGCAGAAGTCCAAATGTCAGCTTCCGCCCGGGATTGCCGACAAGTGACCTCGAAAAAGGAGAAAAAAGTTCCCTCATGTCCCCTCCCAATCTCGACCAGACCAACTGCATGTTCGCAGCCATGTTGGCAGCCAGCGCGTTGTCGCAGATGCTCATGGATGCGCACAAAAATTCTACGTAGCTTGCACAACCCACCGGGCAAGAGCGTCACGGGGACACCCCACTTCTGTTGTGAGAAGCCGTCTGTTCTGTTGGCTTTTGTAGCTGGCCTGTCAGCCTTCTGCACAGATGTGTGGTCGAGTCTAAGGACTGCAACTTGGGCTCGCTGCAAAGTAGCTTTAGGCAACATCTGTTTTGGGAGAGCAGCGGTGGAACCACTTCCTTCGCACAAACGGTACCCCGCAAAAACTCATTTGCTGAAACATTTTAGTTGTTGCTTACACGACTCATCCTCCCATTAGCATTGCCACACGGCCGGCTGATGACAGACTTCTTGCCACTGGGCTTCGGGCGCCACTGTCGTCAGCACCCGCTGCCCTTGGAACATTCCTTGCAGAGCCTGCCCAGACCACCAGCATTTGCAGATCAAACACTCGAGCCAGCCAGCCAGAGGTGACTGAAGACCCTGCCTTCGCTTCAGGCACCAGAAAGGGCCTTCCAGACGCGAGCAAGGACCAAGTTAGACGCGCAATCGCACTGTGCGTTCTGTGAACTATTCCTGTGGGCAAGGCTGGGCATTCCAGTTACTATGAGGAACACCAATTGGCAGAAGTTTACAAGCTTGAAGGGCCAACACGAGTGAAAATTCGGCCGGATAGTCTTCCTTCTCCCTGAGGGCCCGGCTGGAGATTCTCGTTCAAGTTCAGGAAGAGTCGCTGAAAAAGCAGATTGTATCCTGGGATTAGCTAGCAGCACGGCTACAGGCATGGGGTAGCCGTTGAAAACAAAACTCATGTCCGACACTGAGGATGGCTTCCTTGTATGGGCTAGATCTCAAAATTAGTGCCAGCGTCTCACAGCAAATGGCGGATCCCAAGCTGGAAGCTGCCCAGCCCGTCGATGTACAAGCTTGAAGCCGCCATGCGGTCGCGACTGAGCTGCTGGCTGTGATGGTAGATTCTGCCTTTGGAATCCACCCCAGGAAACAGCGATGGCCTCAGCTGTTAATACATCGCAGGTGTCGCAGTGGGTTGAACCCCAATATACTATAGTAGTCTCCATTTCCTTGTCCATTATCCCTATATAACCCCAATATACTATAGTAGTTTCCATTTATTTTCCATTATATCTATAATATATAACCCTATGAAACCCCATATAACCCCTGTATTTCCCCATTATCCCGGGTTGTCACATTTTGCCCGCAACGCATGCAAGGAAGCAGCTGTCGACCGAGAGCTTCCCAAATCCTCGAAGATGTGTTGAACGCGTACGGCTTCACCTCTGGTCGTCATAATACTGTTGATACTAAAAATCCTGTATGACCTTAATATACTATAGTACTATAATTCCCAAGGTATATGGTACTTAGGGCCATACAGGATTTTTAGTATCCAGCGTATACTAAGACCTCAAGTAGATAGAGTATGGGGTTATAGGGGTTATATTGGGTATCGTATATTGGGGTTATGGGGATTATATAGGGTATAGTATGTAGGGGTTCTGGGGATTATATAGTGTATAGCATTAAGGGGATATAGGGATTATTTAGGGAATGATGTATTGGGGTTATGTTGGGATAATGGAAAAGAAAATGGAAACTACTATAATAGGGGGTATATATATATAGACACGGGTTATAATAGGGTATTTTTCTGTAAGCACCCACTTGGTTCTCATGTTGGACCTGCTTACCGCACGCATGCTCTGGTTGGAAGGCCTGCCAAGTTCAGCTGGCTGACATGACTCAAACTGAATGTGGATAAGCCGGATGAGAAATAAGCATGCACCATCTTTGATCTCTATTCCGCTTTGCAGTTGTACGATGCACCATATACTTGTAGATGGCAGCCGCCTGTGACCACCGCGCGTGTTCACACTAGGATGAACGGGTGCTGCTGTCTCTGCATTCTCTTCCAAACTGAGGCATGCACTTGTGTCAGAACATTGTAGACCTGTACATCATCGACTTCCTCCACGCGTCCGCCCTGCGAGCGGAGGAGGACAACGTCAGCTGCCCGACTCTCATGAGAAAGGCGGCATAGAATGCAGGAGCATGATGCACGGCATTCCATGCCTTTTTCCCGCATTTCCAAGGTTCAGCTCTTCCCAGGTTGAATCAACATGCATTGACATGCATTGCAAGGCTGGTCTTGCGAGGAAAGGATGCGTCAGGCCTGTATCAACGCTGCAGCACTGACAAGCGGTTGCAGGCAGTTCCAGGAAACACAAAATTACAGCATGCTTCTCTCAGCTGCACTTTACATGCTCAGGTTCCACACCCCAAGCAGATCCCGCACCCATGGCTGCGGGAATGCTTGTGCATCCATCACTCCCATGTCACCCATCCTGGTCGGATGCGTCATGGCATCAGCACCTATTTCCCGGCATTGCAAACAACCGAAATGCGGACTGGCCTGATCAGTGTGCAGAGATATCCTGCAGCTTGTAGCTCCGATCTTTGGACAACCTTGAAAGGCGGGTGTCAGTTGATTCCTGCTTAACATCCAAGCAAATGCCGTGGGACAAACCCATGCAGCAAAGCACTCGCAAGCAGCGGCCACTCGGAAGGGTCGGAGGTCAGCTCCGAATGCGAATCATCTGATCAAGGACTGGTCAACGCAGCAGGATCTCTGCAAGATCTTTCCGGCTCACAGGAATCGGTCTGATTCGGAGGAGGAGGGGGGCCTGCCTCTGCCTGCTTTGACATGTTGCTCTGGCTGCGACAAAGTTACAGAAGTGCTTGAAGTATGTTGACACTGACATCTGGAAGCAGACAGAGGCGAGCCGGCTTCAACCCTACCAGCAGCTCTAAATGGCTACCGCGTGCTTGGCCCGAAAGTTGAAATCGTGAGCAGGAGCCACCTCGGATGATTGTAAGCCCTGCTCCTTGTAGCAAAGTACAGCTCGATACAGGGCCACGCCCATACGTGCTGTAGCATGCCTGTTTTCGTCCTGTAGGTATCATCTTGATGTCCATCTGGCATTGCTTGGTCATCCGAAGATTGCTGCTACGTAGAGCTCAATTGATTTTGCTTTGGTATGCCATGCTCGCCACAGGCCAGAAGACGGCGTGAACGTTTAAATTTGCTCACGGCGCCATGCTTCTGACCGCTGCCATCTGCCTAAAGCTGGCTCTCTCTTCCTGCATCTAATACAACGAACAACAATGAGATTGGCTGAAACTTTGTTTGCATCTGATTCTGCAAATGCAGCTTCCTGCATGATACCGTACCGTCGGTACACCATCATCCCTCTCGGAAGCATCGAAAACAATTAGCAAGAATGCAAAGCATTCACACTGGAAGTCTTTCCTTCAAAATACGACATGTATGTGCGTTGTCTCACACTCTTGGCATGGCGGCACAGCGGAGACTACCAATGTGCCAGGCATCAGCTCACTTGGAGATCCATCTACGCCCTTCGCCATACCTTGACGGAAAATCTATCCCACTCCAGTGCACAGAAGCTCAAAAAGCACAAGCTGAGCTGAACCAGCTCGAACTGCCAAGGCTCTGTCTCAAAAAACTTTCATTGAAGCTGGTATCTCAAGACAAGAGGCTCGCTTTGAATGCGCTTTCTAAGCACTTTTGCACCTGGGCATCAACACAGCAAGGCGGTTTTGCATCCCAATGTGCCATCGAGTTAGGCGTTTTACAGTTTTTGCTGCCAGGCACACCATTACCTCCTGCTTGGCTAAAGGGGCATTTCCTTCTGTTGCCACATCTTGAAGACTTGGGGATGGGGGATTATTATTGCTACTATTGCTATCATTACGATTATGACTATTATGACTCTCAATACTATATTCTTACCCTTATTATCGATATATTATGGCGATTATTCCTATTATTAGACCCAAGACTTCGGCCTGTCATGGTCTTTTGCCGAGTAGCTGTTCTTGGCCTTCTTGAGCTCTGGGCTCTTCCAGGGCTTTCCCATCTCATCCAAAAGATTCCTTGATTTAGGGTTTAGAGTTTAGGGTAGTCAACCTACGGGTTTCCCAACATTAGGGGTACCTCTTTGAGGGTTCCTCTCAAGATAATCGTATATTGGGGTCTTTGTTGGGGTCCCCTGTTTTGGGAAACTACCTAGTATCCCCCTTAATAACCCTGTAATAATACCCTATACCATCCCCTATATAACCCCCTTTAAGGAGTTTAGACCTGCTTACTGTTGACCCTGCCAAAACACCTGCCGGAGTCAAAGCCCGCGCTCTCGCCACCCAGATGGAGGCTCTTGCCAAGGACGTCTCAGAGTCAACAGCGTGGTCAGCGAAGGATTCTGGGGGTTTCCCAAAATTAGGGGTTATATTGGGGTTATATAGGGATAATGGAAAAAATGGAAGCTACTATTTAGGGTTTAGGGATTATGGACTGCAAGGAGAAGGCGAGGGTGAAATGGAAGAGCTGAGGCTTCGGCTGAGGTCACCTTCATACTGGACACCCAGCTGCACGCGTGGCCGCTCGCCCCACTCCCTTCCTGCAAAGAATGGCGTTGCTTTTGCGTTCCGCATTGCTGGGTTGCTGTTAAGGAACTTAATGTAAGTTACCATATTGAAGAAACCCTAATATTTACTATATCTACCCATTATGGTAACTTAATTTAAGTTCCTTAACAGCAACCCAGATTGGGGCTAAAGCTGTGTATACACTAGCACTAGCAGACATGCAAGGTTTTGTTCACTGGTCAGCCCCTCGCAGGCCGTACTCCAAGCAAAACCATATGGGTGGTTGTCAAGATTATTGTCCCTTTTTGGGTACCCTAAATATTAGGTGCCGTATTATAATAGGGACCCAAAAACGGACCATAATTTTGACAACCACCCATATGTCAGCGAGCCTTTGTAGATCTTGCCAGTTCCGCGCAGGAAGGTTCCATCTGCACAGCTGCTGAAAAGCTCAAGCAAAATGAAGCTGAAATTCATTCGATTTGCCGCGGTTCTGACCTTCGTGAGGCTTACGACCAACATGCAAACGACACACAAACGAAAGGGTCGTAGTCCTCACAGGGGCATTTCAAGCTACAATGTCTCATGCAACCCAGCGTCGAGGCGGACTCGCAGCTAACGTGTTCGCGACCGTAGTTGGTTTGTAGTGATTACATGCGAGTCATGGCAGTTTGCCACAACCTAGCCGGCTGCACTGACATGCTTCCAGCCCCAGCAGCCTCCGAATTCGACGCGTGGAAGTCTCACTTCAGCCGCCTGCCTGGGGCCAAGTGAACACTTTTCGAAGATAAGCCAAGATGTCAGAATTAAGCTTCCTGTTCACATGTCACATGCAACTTGGAGCTAGCGAGACTGGGCCAGGATACCTAAGAACTAAACGTGCTCGCCTACACATCCTGCCAAGGCTGTCCTTTTCTCATTTTCCTAGAGTCTACACTTGGGATGGTAATGCTGTTCAGGCTGTCCAGGCTGCCGGATGCCCTCGCCATCATCGGAGGACATCTCGTATCTTGCATCCACGCCATGCCTTAGCACGAGATCTGATTCGTGTCGCAGTGCTGGCATAGATAGCCCCGCACAAAGTGAATGAACGCCTTTGCAAGACTCCCATACATGCGCCACGCGACAAGTTTTCCGCGTAGACTCTGAGGGCGCCCGAAAGGTCTCCATCGGTCTGCACAGTCGCAACGCCTGCGGCCTTGACCTTCCACAGGGCTGACAAACAACAGCTGCGGATGCTGAGCAAAATCAATATTTCCATCAGCACCACTATTCTTGCTGCTATTATCATTAGTACCACTACTGGCATTAATATCATGATTACATATTATTACTATTACTTCTACCAGTATTAATCATAATATCATTCTTATTATTAAGAAACATCATTCCACCGTTCCAGCAACTTGCGGAGCTTCAAGACGTCTCACACGGTGGCCTCGGGCACCTGCTTGGACCGGAAGGCCAGCGTCCCCGTCAGCGAGGGCCTGTCCGACCCAAGCTTGTAGCGGCTTCGAAGGTAGAAGTTCCTGGCCAGGGCCGAGCCATTCCCAGACAATGAGATCATAGTTCTAGTAATAATGAAATCATGGTAATACTGCAATGGTGATAACAATAGGAAAGGTAAAATATAGTAATACTTCAGTAACAGTAAGGGTAATAGTACGTAACAGTAACAGTGACAGTAACTGTACTAGTAACAGTGACAGTAGCACTAACAGTACTAGTAACAGTAATGGCAATAGTTATAGTAGTAGATCATAGACTAAATGCGGCCACTGGCACGATCCCGCAGCTGCCACGCTCGGCATCAGCGTTCCGAGGTCAGCAGAGAGGCCCAGGCCCACAGGCGCCATGGAGACATTGCGCTCCTGATCACAAGGGCAATTTAGGGTTCCGAAACAATTGACCTGCAGGGATTCCAACTGAAGCTCAAATCCAAGCTACATTCAGTTCAGATTGACACAGAAGAAATCCTGATTCCTTCAACTTCTCTATTGGTTCTCCATACGATGTGCGGTCTACCAGCGGAGCAAGAAACCATCAGCAGCTGTGGGCCTTCACTGTGGCCTTTGTGTCTACGTCCAGCTCCAGCCCCTTCCTGATTTCCTGCAGCTGCATATTCTGGAAGTGAAAGCGGGTTGGTCCTAAACTGAAAAGGGTTATGTCAATCCATGATCTAATCTACTCTGTAATGGTGCACCTGCCAGATGAAAGCGATTGAGCAAGGTGGACTCTCAATGCCAGCACTACCTTGCTGCCTCTACACCCACCCCGGGTCCGACTTGCCCTTCCACTCCGCGAAGCCTTCACACATCGCAAAGGAGCGTGTCACAGCAGCTGCAGGTACCACGCTCAGGATGCCTAATAGATGCTCTCATTTGTATGAGGGCGAATGAATCACTGCTGCATTCCCTTGACCCTGCCTGAGATTGTGGGTGAGCCCTCGATGGGTACAGTGGCATCTGCACCGAAGGCTGTTCCCAACTTGGCAGGTGCGCGGACTTTTGCATCTAGACCTTGGCTGGGACAGCCTTTCAGAGTCAACTGCTACCTCATTACCATTACTATTTACTATTTGACTCTACTACTATATTACTATATGTCTATATTACTCTACTACTCTATTACTCTTTTACTATATTACTGTATTACTATGACAATCATTTACCATTATGCTTATATGTCATCACTTAGGCTTGCTCCCCAAACCCAGCCAGGCCTTCCTCGGAAATCTTCAGGTTGTACTGCGGATCCGTGGTGAGGATCTTGCCGGCTTTCTTTTCAAGTCCTGCGTCATGCAACATGGGGTTATATAGGGGGTATATAGGGGCTACGTATGGGTTTAGGTTTGAGGGTTCAGGGTTTAGGGGTATAATATATGGGATTGTATGTACCATAACCATAGTCTAGTACATTTCAGCAGGTACAGCATGATACAGCCGGGTGGATGAAGACCCCTGCACACTTGAAACATCAGAATCGTTGTTTGCAAAGAAAACAATTAAGACCGCAAATTGGCACGCACCGACTCTCAAGATATCTGGGCAGTTGTCAAAATCATGGTCCCTTTTTTAATCCCTATTACAGTACGGCACCTAATATTTAGGGTACCCAAAAAGGGACCATTATTTATGGTACGGCGCCTAATATATAGGGCACCGAAAAAGGAACCTAATATTTAGGGTACCCAAAAAGGAACCATAATTCATAGTACGGCACCTAATATTTAGGGTACCCCAAAGAGGAACCATAATTTGGACAACCACCCAAATACCCTATAATCCCTATATAACCCATTATAGTAGTTTCCTTTTTCTTTTCCATTACCCCAGTATAACCCTAAAATAACCCCAACAAGGGACTATAATTTGGACAACCACCCGAATCTGGCATCACAGATGTGCTCTTGGCACCTTGAAGTCTTCCCTTCAAGCCAGCCTGGCAACGCTAATTGCTATAGTAATATTGTAACATATAGTGTTATATAGTAATATATAGTAAGACAGTGATATATAGTGGTAGGACAGTAATCTATCTTAATATATAGTAATATAGTAATGTAGTAAATATAGTAATATATAGTAAAATCATGATAATATATAGTCATATATAATGATATGTAGCAATATAGTAATGTAGTAACATATAGTAATATGTAGTAGTATAGTAATATATAGTAATATAATAATGTAATAATATATAGTAATATGTAGTAATATAGTAATATATAATAATATATAGTAATATATAGTAATTTATAGTATAATATATATATATGTATACATATATATGTGTCGTTCCCACATAGGGAAGAAGTTGAGTTCATAATATTGGTCATATTGGGGTTGTATGGGGGTAATTTAGGGATAATGGACAGGAAAAGGGAAACTACTATAGTATATTTCTGTCCGCGCAGAGAGCGGCTTGGGGCCACGAAACTAAAATGTGGCAACTGCACTGATAGGTCGAGGACTGGTTCGAATTGCTTGAAACTTGTAGTCCCCTGGCTTCCATTTTATTTTCCATTATCCCTATATAACCCCTATATACCATTTTCCATTATCCCTACCAAAAGCATCCGACTGCAATCAGTGAGCCTCCCACTCGAGAGCACTCTTTTCGCTCTCAGGGTCGGGCTGGTAGACGTTCATCTGCAAACAATGCTATAGTCCCCCTTAAGTAGATAGAATATTGGGTATATGCGGATCTTAATATAATATACCCATATCCATATTCGAGGCATACGCAGTCGCTTCGTGATTCGAGCAATATCGCGCTTGAGCAGAGCGAGCGTGTTGCTGCAAAATTCGCAGGGTAGCTTTGAATGTAGCCCTATATAATCCCTGTAATCCCTCTAGTTTCTATGTTGTTTTCCATTATCCCCATATAAGCCCAATATTGGAATATTGGATGCTCAACTTCCAGGCACCTTCAGCTCTCCGATCTTTGAGCTGTATGCCAGCCCAGCGCTGGATTGGATCCAGTTGGGAAGGAGGCCTCGCGAATCGACTCTGTTGGGAACACAGGGTTTAGGGTTTAGGGTTTAGGGGCACCACATACTGATGGATCCTCAAAGTTGGAAGATGTCGGAAGATGTTGGCAGGATGTTTGAGGCATATTACCATGGCACCGGAACTGCTTGCAACAGAAAGTGCCGCAAGTGTAAACGGCGTGCACACATATTTGTGCAATCATTCTGGAGTTGCTCGCAAGGCTCCATACAGAGTACCATGCTAACCTTCGATGAATGTGCTCACGACTTTCAATATAGCTGGGCGGCTGTCGCTGTTGCCCGAACGCTTCTTGGCATCAACGGCATACAGGAGGGATACACCATTCTTCATCTGCTTGTCCCAGCCAAGCGCGGCATCGTAGACCTGAAGTGGTTCGCTTTGCAATATCAAGTTGCCTGCCGAGGCAGAGGGTCGCACTCGCGCCCCATCAGGTCATGGAAATGACTGCATGCAAGCTGCCACATCGTTGCTGTTCCCAGTGATCGAGAAGTGTCGGGCTTTCTGTCCTGACTGAACAAATTGCACAAAAAAATCGACAGTGAGTCAACCTAGCGAAACGATAATTGACATGCCCTGCCTTCCACAGACACAGTCCAGTCCACATCGTTTCCCTCCTGGCCAGACTGACTAGAAGTCCCAGCAGCAGCCATGCCCAAGCTTGACGGCAGGGGTTCTTGACTACTTCAGGCTATTGAAGAATCAAGCTAGCCGGAAGCCTCAGTCGGATTTCTAGATGCCTCACAATCGTTTGTCTCACTCTTGCCTCCTTTTGCTGGTGTAGTTGATTATACAGTTTGAAACAGAAGACTTGAAGCACTTTGACACTTGCCATCTGATGAAAACTTTTGGAAACAGCATGGTCCCTGCTAACATCGAGCAGTGAGCTGTGAGCTGTGAGCTGCTAAAGATCTACCGCTGCTGTTACACGTCGCGCTCCTCATCACCAGTCGCAGATGCTGCAACACGAGTGGCGCCCAAGGGCTTCAGCCGACTTTTCCTGATGCGCAGGACTTCAGATACGGCATTGGCCAAGTCAGACTAGCCGTGTTGAAGGACGGCTTTGCATGATGCAGCGTTCAAGACACTCCTTTTTGGCAGTTGACCACTTGGTGCTGAAATGTGCTGAAGGATGGCTGCCGCCAAGCCACGCTGAATCGTAATTCGCGCCATAGACAACATTGCCACCATCCTCCCGCGCGACAAACAGCGCCGAGGACGTCTTGTTGGATGCCTCCGTGGCCCTGCGAATCCAGTTGTATAGGGATAATAAAATGGATAAAATGGAAGCTACTATAGTATATTGGCGTTATATAGGGATGATGGAAACTAAAATGGAAACTACTATGGTATTTTGGGGTCTATATAGGGATGATGGAAAATAAAATGGAAACTTCTTTCGTATTTTAGGGTTATATAGGGATGATGGAAAATATAATGGAAGCTACTAGAAACCCTAAACCCAGTCTGAAGCAGGGATCTGGGTCAAAGCTTTTCTTTGCGGCTTGAGGCCTCTTAAGTAGATAGAATATGGGGTTACAGGGGTTATATTGGGTATGGTATATAGGGGTTATAGGGATTACATAGGGTATGGTATATAGGGGTTATAGGGATTATTTAGGGTATAGTATATTGAGGTTATATTGGGATAATGGAGAAGAAAATTGAAACTACTATTTAGGGTTTAGGGTTTAGGGTATATTCCCCGTTAAGTAGATAGAATATGGGGTATATGGGGATCTTCTTATAACATACCCGAAGCCATATTCTATCTACTTAGGTAACATTCTAAGTCTGTTCTCAGCGCTGCCGGAGTGCCCAATATGGTAGTTTCCCGAGATAGGGGGACCTCCAGAGAGACCCCAAAATACTATAGTCCTTATTATAGGGACCCCCAGAACTAATTTTGGGAAAGCCCCATATCATAACTGTCCCTTTCCGTTGTGCCACAACTGGTTCACTCAACGCAGCCACAGCCAAGGCAATCATGTTGTGTACGAGCGCTTCCCCTTTGGCAAACTTTACATTTTCTATACACAAATCGTTCAATTATGTGCCGGCCTCACTTGCCACTGCAAAGCACCCTGAGAGATGGTGTCAATAGCGAAGTCTTTGCCAGCGATTCCTGACCCAGCAGGCCAACCCCGAACCTACTTTGCCAACTGTCTGTGGACCCTTCTGGCCTGCGTATGCTGTTCACAAACATGTTCAGTTCTGTAATTTCCCGCCCACCATCACAGGCACTACATTGTGGCAAGCACCATTCTGGATATCGTGACGTACCACTTATCACACCACTGTTGTGCTTTGGACTTCAAGCGTACTGGTGAAGCTGCAAAGGGGGCTCTTGCCACCAGGCCGCGGATGCTATGCGGCTGCTTCCACACCTGTCCGGGCGACTTGCAGTTTGAAGCAGCTCGAGCAAGGACATGCTCTTCACAACGGGAAAGAAGCATCAGGAAGATGGGGGTGCCCAGGAGCTGTGTGATGTGTCCTGGCCTTCAGCGTCTTTTCCGCCCTCAGCGATACAACAACTCTCACGGTTGCTGCCTTGGGGCACCTGCCCTGTCTGCTAGCATCCAAGCAGCTGTTGCTTGGTTTCTTCCTTGCTCCAGAAGCCCAAGGTCCTTGAATGCTAGCGGTTTTGCGAGCTAGCTTATTTTGCTAGTCTAGATACCACATCTCTTGCCATTAGAATGCCAGCATTGCAGAACCTGTCTGGGCACCATTGATCTAAGGATCGGGGAGCGTATGCTCACAAGCGCAGAGATAACGGCCACCTGAGCAAATCAGCACTTCCAAATACTCGTATCTCCAAGAAGAAATGTAAATGACATGCTCTTGGGTGCTCCTAGCATCTACCGTCAACCCTGCGTCGCATATCATGGGAGTGAGCGGTTTTGCTTGCAGCTCAGGTGCTGCAAGGGCCACTGCACGCAGCCCACGGCGGCTGGCTTGGCGGGCCATGTTTCGGAGATGGGCCGTAGCTGAGAGGCTTCCAAAATGGCTGCAGGGCAAGGCAATGCACATAGTCACCGAGCTCCACTTCGCAGCTTACTGATGCTCACTGTGCTGAGCTCAAAACAGAAGTCGCAGGATTGGCAACCCCGTCCGGGATGCAGGGCATACCTATTCTTCCAGCCAGGGGAGGTCACAGCAGGGAAGGAAAATGTTCCGATGGTAGGCACAGGCCTTGTCTTGAGGAGCTTGAGCACAAGTCGACAGCAAGGTCACTGGTCCAAGGCACTGCGCACCTTGGGATCCCACACCACTCTCAAGCAGAAGGATTCGGAGGTGGACGGGACTTTTCAACCATGACTCCTACCTTGCTGGCTTCCTGCAGCATGTGACAGCTTTTGGCGCCGATTGCTGCAAAGCGGTGGTGCATGACAGGTCATTCTCGCATCGTCTCCATGTTCTGTTACAAGTGGCAGCACATCCGCCGGTCAAACCGTCATCAAGCATTACATTGCGGGCAGCCTCCAAACTCTTATTTGTTGATCCACTCGTTCGTTTGCAATCCTGCTAAGAAAGTTGGCTGGCAGGGCTGAATGGAGTCCTTGCGGTCCAGCATAGATGGGACAGGCCTTGTCAGGCCCTGCGTGGTGATGCTATTGTCCGAGGCAGAGTCGTCCACGCTCCGGGCTGCTGATCACATTTCTACCATGTTCAGATCACTGAGATGAAGATGTGCCAAGGTCTCTCAGCTTACCAATTCTGGAATGTGCTTCTTGAGGAAATCCAGCGATTGCTTGTTGAAAAGATGTGCCTGACCAGCGCACAAGACAAAGGCCCTGCCCCAGGAATAGGATCGCCCCACGCTCGGCATGATTGGTCAAGAATGCACAGGTTACATAATGTCGGCCGTACAAGATTTATCGTGCTTGCCGTGGTGTGCGTAAACCAGGCCTTCTCGAAATAAACTGAATGACCTGCACCGTCCACCTCCACAAACTCCTGACGAAATTGGACTACTTCTGTCCTGCTCCCAGCATACTGCATCAGATGAATCCCTTTGTTGACTGCCCAGCACCGAGTTTGGAAGCAGCTCAGCAAATGCCCGAATCTGAGAAGGCGGGAAGATGACATCATCAGCACCGACCTTTCCACTTGGGCATGTGAATGTCTCAAAAAGCCGGCATTCAGTAGTCGCCGCAGCTTGAATGTCTCAATTATCATGATCAACTGTCTGGAAGTTTCATGCCTTGGACTCCGACAATACACAGAACAGGCACTTCCAGACGTTGAACCTCCTCGACTGTGGGGCCGCCTCATCAAGCACAAACACAACTCCCAAGAAGTAGTTTTCATAAAGGTGGCACTCAAATGTATTTACTCCTGATTAGGGATTGCCAAAAAAAAGGCCCGCAATTTGGGCAAACTCTAATCCTCAGATAATCCAGGCTTCCATGTCCGTATCCATGTTATTGGGGTAATGTCCCCAAGGACCCCTTTTTGGAAACCGTAAACCCTAATCCTAAACCCTAAACCTATATGTCCTTATCTAACCCCTAGACAACCCCTACATAACCCCTTTCAAGGGACCCTGAATTTTGGGGAAGCTCCCAAAAGAGGACTCAACACCTTTGCCACCTAAACCCCTAAACCCTAACCCTATACCCTGAGCCCTAAACCCTAAACCCTAGCCTGGAGTGGGCCCTTCGAGCCGCGGACGCGGAGGATTCAACCCTCCGATGGACCGAAACAAGTGGTAGAGCGCAGGCTGCTCCTCAGCAATAAGAGTAATAGCAATATATTACTAGGAATGTTAGTCATAATAGTAGTAATAATGATAAGAATAATAGTAGGAATAATGATAACAATAGTGATACTCATCATAATCAGAATATTACTCGTAGTAATAATGGTACAAGTAGTAAGAGCAATACTAGTAATCATATAGCTGGTAAGCGTGCCCATGCCACTGACATGATAGCTGATAGCTCCAGGTGCCGGGGAGTGGCTGACGAAAACTTCGTGTACGACCCTAGTGACTGTTGAAACCCTGCTTCTCGGTTCGCTCGCAAAATGGGGATTTCCCGAAATTAGGGGTACCTTTTCGGGGGTCCCAAGATTAATGATCATTGTATTTTGGGGACTATAATACTTGATTGGGGTCCCCAAGTAGTATCCCCCTGCCCTCCATGGCATCCTCCAAAGGTGCCAACAGACACTGGGATCGTGCACATGTGCATTGCTAGCCCCGGTGCCTGTCGTGAATTCTTGGCAGCTCAGAAACGTTAGGGTTTAGGGTTTCCTAAATCCT